CTGGGGAGACCTAGACGTAGATGGGAGGATAATCTCAGGCGGGATCTATGGGAGATAGGAGTTGAAGGAGACTGGATTTTGTTGGCCCAGGATAGGGTCCGGTGGAGGGCTTTGGTTAATTCGGTGATGAACCTTCGGGTTCGGTAAGCCATCTAGTTAGTTAGTTAGTTAGTCTCCAGAAGAAATGCGGCTGGCGAATCTGATTCTTCCTTTTTAAATCACTTGGCACCTTTGAGGCGGGGCTTACGTTCATTTCGTATGCTGTTCAAGGCTTCCAGAGGATTCAGCGGCGGACGCGAGGGGATTCAGAAGGGTAGCTCGTGTTTCGAAAAGCAGAGCTAGTGGATACAATTCTTTTATACAAAGCACTTAGGTGAGTTGACTTAATTCTGTTGCTTAGTTCTGGCAATGACTTTCTCGCAGATTATAAACAGAAGAGCAGCTACATCGACAATAGTTCACAGCGTGACAGTCTGCAACTTATCCGCGATACTTTCACAAAACTACGGTTGGCAGTCCTGCCTTTAGAACGCACCCAGAAGCCTTTGCGACTGCATCCTGTATCATAATTCATCACCAACCCATTGGACAACGGGGCTAAATTGTGATTAAAAATCGCTTAATTTGGAGATTTGGACAAGTTATGAACAGCGTCCAGGCAGCTGTAGTGAAAACGTGGGAGCTCTGCTGCAGGTCAAGCTGGTCACGTGACAAGCAAGTGTCCTCACAAGCAACCGTCTCTCCACCTTCACGTTCCACTTGAATGCCAGTGGCACGCTCAGTGGAAATATGAGGACTCAGTAGCCTCGCCTCAAGGACTTACTTCAGCAAGTGTTCCCGGCGTAAACGACGCTTTAGCAGGAGGATCGGCAGTGGAACGAAAACGAACTGGAAAGGAAAATATCGCCAGATCAACGACGAAAGATGTGACGGTCGTTGCATTTAAATATTTCCGATTCCTACCTCGATCCGAGTCTGCACGAGACGACTTGCACTTCTCAGGTCGTATCAGTGCAGTTAGTGATAGGCTACTCAGTTATTAACACTTTCTGCTAATGCTTCTGTG